CTATCTATCTATCTATCTATCTATCTATCTATCTATCTATCTATCTAAGACACACTGCCAAGATCCCTTTCTAGCTGCATCTGTACATCAGATGGATGTTCTTCTGAAGCCTTTTATGTGTAACTTAATAAAATGTGATTTTGTAAGAAAAGTAGACTTTTAAAGATTGGTACAAAGGAATGTATGGGGCTGATACTGTTTTTATTTGGAAAAAAAAGCTATTTTTCTTTTTTTAGCGTTTTCAGCTTGAGGATTACACTTGAGTATTACTCTTATGTAACCATTTAAGTTTGGCAATAAAAATAATAACAATAATAATTTATTATCTCTTATTTCTCCTTCATTTTTACCATCAAAAAGAAAAGGGGTGTTAAAGTGAATTTCTAGGGTGCATAGGGTTAATACATAATAGAAACGTAGACAGTATTCTACACAGTACTTATATGAAATACACTGTACGTTGCACATACAGCATTTTGCAGTCATTTGGGGGGGAAGGGGTTGGTTTTCGTTCTCTTTCCATATGCTATCTTCCTTTTTTTCTTTTTCTTTTTTTGTTGCTTATTCTGACTTCCCAGAACTGAAGCTTGAGCTTCTCCTGTGCTATTTTCTTTCTTTGCAGCTTCAGATGGAAAGTCCTTACATGTGAGTATCCTTAAGAACAGCTTACATGTCTCATGTGTTTTTGATTAACAGAAATTTTCCAAGAGAAGAAGAGAACTTTAGAAGAAAAGTTTACAAAAGAGAAAGTACTGTATCAAATCATCTTAGTGAAAATTAAAATCCATTTGGGATGGGTGAAATATGGTATGGTCATAAGATTAACATTTACCTCACGTGAGTAAGATTAATCAAATACAACTAAAAAGGATCAGATGTAACTATCTTTGTTGAAGTCTACTCTGAGCACAAGTATAGGCCATCTTACTGTAAATTTTCCTGGTCAGCTAATTTGAATCAGTGCAGTACTGTCTTATGTACGCATGGCTCCTGAAGAACAGCTGCTGGTTTTTAGATTCAATATGTTGGCAGGAGCCAATTAAAAACAATGAAAACAATGCAGAAATGGTTTTAAAATTAAAAATTAGAATTAAAATTAAATAGTTTTAAAATGCAATTAGAAAGTCAACTAAAATCCTACCTGTTTTTGAAATGCCACATGGGTCTTCTTAAAAAGCAACTAATATGTTAGACTTGTTATCTCAGCTGAGAATGTATTCTAATGCCCCAATGCAGTTATCCTAGAATTACAGATCTCCACTATGAGCATTTCCTTTGGATGTTTTCAAGTGCATACATGATATCTTGATAGCTTTGTCATCCTTTTAAAGAAGTGTATTTGACTTGATACAACTGATCGAATGCTTCATTTCTTTTGATATGACATACCTTTAAAATGCTAACTAGATGAGTGCACCATGTACATTGCCAGAAAATAAATGGAAGGGTTGGAAAAGTCTGTGCAGTTTATTTTTCATCCTATAATGAGAGAGGTTGTGTCAATGGTTTGTTATTCCCCTTTCTATAGGGAGAAATCAGATGCAGTCATCTGAGAACCTCTGGTCTCTATCTCGACTCCCAAGTGAGACTGACGGTGAAAGAAGCAGTTGTTCCAAACCTGTGTTCAGAGTGGCCAGTCGCTTATGCTTCATGCTTTGTTTTGCAGTGATGCTTCCCTGCACTTCCTTTTGCTGGCAAATTTGTCTTGATATGCTAGCTTTCATGTGCTGTTCCATGAAATTGTGTACATATGTGAATGTGACTTTTTTGTTGATGTTGTGTTTGCTTCCTTTGTGATGCTTTCTTTGTATATATTGCTGAAAGTAAAAACTGCCTGATAAACATCTCACAGAAATGTTTTGAGTTTTGCAGATAGATAACATGTAATTTATGGTAATCATATGATCTTTGCAAATGCAGTTCACCTTGAAATGCAGAAGTATTGTTAATAATTTATCCTTGTTGAGAAATGTATATTGACATATGGTTTGGATATTTGGTACTAGTCTCATGCTTTGCCTTACATAAAAATATTCCAAAGCTAATTTGAAAATCATTTTCCTGTACAATTTGATTTTATTATTCCCATGGAACATGTTAGTTCATATTATTTTCTTGGCAATATTTTCATAAATTTCCCTGTCCAGTGTTTACATTTTCCTATAATCAGAAACTTAACAGTTTTTTTATTTATTTAATTTAAATTTTATAAATATCACTGTTGTCAACTTGTTTATTTCCAACCTCTCAGTTTGTTGCAAAGGAGAAAGAAATGGTCTAATGAACACAAAGAGAATTAATTGAAGTACCCTACAGATATAGATTAACTATGTTGAATTAATTTTAAAAACTGTTTAATGAAGGAACTGGAAGGTAGGATAACATGCAGGGAAAAATGACAAGAGGATATTTCCCCTGAGGACAGTTGTATCAAATATGCATATATCCTATGAAAATAAATTTTAAATTAAATAATAATGTACAATGTAGCACTAGAGTCTGGAATAGAGAATAAGTTTCCCAAATAGTAGTTCACTAAATTGGAATTCTGCTATCAGGATCTTCCCTTAGAATATATAACTGAAAAAGGAACCTCCAATTAAAGGAAAATTCTTCTTTTAATAAAAGAACATCTTATTAAACCAATTAAACAGAATTTCACTACTGCAGTATATTAATATGCATTTGCTTTTCTTCAAATCACTTTTGACTGCAGAAAAAAAAACCTGATGTAGGTTATTGGGAATAGTCAAAACTGATCTTTTAACTTATTACTAACTGCTTCAGAAATCAAAAAGAGATGGAATCATTTTAATTTCATTCTGTTGGGGATATCCATCAAATTTCCTAATTGCCTTGCTGATGTGTATTTCAACATCATAGAAACAAATTGTGGAAAATTTTCCAAAATGAAGTTTCACTGGAACATATATGAAATATCTCTTAAAGCAGCTGTGTTATTTGCAATACTGATATTGTTACTTTCGGGGTTGGTCCCGGCTATCTCCACATGATGCTTTTTCTCCTTAGCTGCAGTTTCTGCCCTGCAGAGGCACCTAGGAGCAATTATTCAAGATTTCTGGATGATATGGTTGCTTTGGAGTTTTGAAAAGAGGTGCTTGTATGCCTGCCCACAGATCACTGATATTCTGAACAGTTACAGTATGCTTTTGTCAGCTGATTCTGCTTTTCTATAATTACAGTGCTAGCCCTGTGGTTAATGATTTGCTTCAGAAAACTGATAAAGATGGCAGCATTAACTGATTATATACTATGTCAAGAATATTAGTCTACTTTCAGGATTCTGAACAAATTCTCAAACAGGTGCCCAGGGTGCATTCTGCTATGATTGTAGAATAGACAGTGAAATTTTATTTGTATGCTAATATTAATAACATAAGTACTATGTATACAGCACTTATCTCATGAGATGTTATCGTAGGTGGCATATAACAATCAATAAAAAACAATATGTATATAAATATATAAATTCATTTAAAAATAGAAAAATCAGCATAAGAAATGGAGATGATTTGAACTAAAAATATGTACAAACCTCAAGGAGAGAGAGAGAGAGAGAGAGAGAGAGAGTAATCCACCTCAACAGTGGTGATTGTTGAATGTTGAGCTTAGATGGCTCAACAGTGGAGCCATATAACAAGTCTCTGGTTCCTTGGGATGCCCAGATATAAACAGGTCTTGAGGAAGTGGAACACAAAAAGGGATATCCAAGGAGGAGAATGTTCCATAATGCAAGTGCCAAAATATTAAATATAATGTAATGCAAGGCAACTCTTAGATACCATAAACTTCAATATCTTAAAATCTAATTCGTAATTTTGTATGCCCCAAAGTCTTAGGAATTTTGACAGCATTCTAAAGTATAATCAGATAAGATGAAAGTGATTAAAGGATTGGTTTCACTGTCATATACAATTGTTTTAGGAAAATTTTAATCTCTATCCTGAAGGTTTAGGAGGGAGATCCTGTGTTATAGAATGCTTAATTTAAAAATGGATTTGCTGAGAAATATATAAAAATGATTATCGTGCTAAACAGCTAAATGTAATAATATTGTTCACTTCAGCATGTTTTAGCCCAAGATAAATATGTCCTTTTCAACATAACTCAGTTTTGCTATCAGCTAGTTGAATCATTTTAAATCCTAATGAAAAAGAAATGAGTCAGATGGAATAGCTTTTTTAAAAAACAAAAACAAAAACAGACTAAGACCTTAAGATAGGGTTTTTTTAATTCCACCACCAATTAACAGCTGCTGTTAATTCATTCTTGTACTATAAATTTCACGTGGAAAGGAAAATAATTGCTACAATTTATACACAATGTTAAGAATGGATGCTAAAACATTGTGAATGAAATATTAGATGTTTTTCTGTGACACAATTATAGAAACAGTCTAAAAATACAGTGTGATATTTCTTGACTGTTTGATTTGATTTTTACATTTGAAAGGAGACGGTCTTTATAAGTTAAGTTAAGGGGAGATCAATCTGTCTAGAACAGCCTAAAACTTTAGCCAATCAGAGAAGATCCCAAATGCTACCAACTCTGAGTCCCCTGAGTCTCCGGAGAAGGGCGGCATATAAATCAAATAAAAAAAACAACAACCAGATTTTGTTTTTTTAAAAAAATCATATTGTCTTTCTTATCTTTCTGTCTCCCTTTCTACTTTTCTGTCCCAGTCCTCTTCTAAATAGGAAACATCCTAAACAAGACATTTAAAAAATCTATGGTGATTTCAATCTCTTATTTGAACTCCAGTAGTTCAAAAGACAGAAAAAAATAGCATTGTTTTATGACCAGGTTGAGTCACTGAATTGCTCTTTAGTATGTTTAAGTAAAATACATTGGACTTTAAGAAGTTCATTTCAGAAAACAGTTTCCTAGCATTTATAAGAACTTTGTTCTCTTTTTATCTTTTGATCTATTAAAAGTGGAATCATAAATTCCTAGGAGAGATTTTGACTCTCCTAGGAATTTATGATTCTACTTTGAATAGTTCTGTGAAATATGAACTTAGTGTTTGGAATACATGGAGAACTTAAAATTTTTAATCATGTTTCTTCATCTGTCACTTTATTAAAAATATTTCAATGGATTTCTTGGGACAAATGATTGTGATTCAAATTAGAGGGCAAGGTGTCTTGCTTATTTGGCTCTCTAATGATAGACTTGAAAAAAAAACTATAGCAAACACCTTAAAATATATATATATATATTAATTATTTATTCACCTAGAAGCAATATGAATGTCTCTCATTTTGCCAAGGACGCATATAGGAAAATGATGAGAATCTTTGGGAGGTCTTCCACCTACATGAGTTAACTTGTAGGTCACAAAAATTTTAAGAGAAAGATTCCATGCTTACTAGAGCCATGCAAAATATTTACAAGGTGCACTTTGCAAGTGTGGGGCTGTAAATAGAGCAACCCCCCTCAAAGGATTAAGGCATCCTTTGAAAGGCTTGGCATTGTTGCTATGAAGGTTCTTTATGTGTGTCCATGCAGAGGCAACATTTCTGCTGAGACTGTCACTGGATCATAAGGTTCTTCCAAACTCAGTGCTTGAAGCATTGACGTTCTGTATCATGTTAAAGATGTGAGTGGTTATACTGCTGAAATTTTTACCTGTGAAGCATCACTTTGGTGAAGCAAAGTGGCATTCATTGTAAAATGAAATATTTGTACATACAATGCATGTTCAGACAACATAAGAATGGCCTTAAAATAGCCTTACTAAGCTTTTGAGATGATACAATGATTTGAGTATCACCTACCCCTCTGGAGGCTTTTATAGTGCTTGTCCCAAAGTTGCTTTTTCAAAAGGCCAACTGGACTTTGTTTTTCCTTGAAGACATTTCACTTCTCATCCAAGAAGCTTTTTTAGTTCTGACTGAAGTATTATCGTTACCGCTCTTTCTAAGAGTCATTGAGGCCACTTGGAGGGAGGGAAAGGAGTCCTTTTAGCAGTTCCAGGAAGGTTCCACACCTATTTGTACTATTCAGGTGACACTGAGGGCACAGATAAACCTCCAAGTCATCTCAATGACTCTCAGAAAGAGTGCTAACAACCGGATGATTGCAAGGAATATAAATCCTTCCATCCTCCACCGTTCAATCAGAACTGAAAAAGCTTCTTGGATGAGAAGCGAAATGTCTTAAAGGAAAAACAAAGTCCAGTTGCCCCTTGAAAAAGCACCTTTGGGGCAACCATGACCTTGATGACTAAGAATCTCCATAGACATTTTATACAGCTTGATTTATTATTTGGGAATCCAAATGCTAACTATAGTAATTGTAGCTAAAATGAAGCACAAGATAATTGTGAAATCCTTTGACCCAGTTTGTGTTGCGTGCCTTTATAACAATAGCCATATTTAGGCTCATGTGCAGAAGCTGCTATTTATATTACAATAGCTGTGTTTCAGTTTTCTAAATATTAATTTGCTCACAACAAGAATGTATTGTTCAGTTAATCTATGAAAGTTGTATTCTTGTGTAGTAAAATAACTGTTTCTACTGAGAATTGCTATTTTAATGGATATTACAAATCTATTAAAACTAAGCTTTGGAATTGAAGATATTTCAAATATAAAGAAAGAAGAATGTAAAGGATGCAAATTCATGGACGTCTAGAATGAATGTGCAGAATTTTTTAAAAAGTAGTCTACTTTTAATAAGCCCTTCATACATGCTTCTATTTCATATCTGAAGCCCCATTTACTCCATAAACTAAAAGAGATTTATGCAGGATTTGAAGTTAAAAAAAAAAAAAAAAAAAAAAAAAAGCTTATGGTCAAATGTATTTCAATTTAGAGAATTTTAGGCACAATTCAAGTATTTGTGCATTGGAAAGAATTTTACATTGCTGCGTAACTCTCTGGTAGATAATAGAGGTTTTTTTATAGCTGTTATTTTCATAAAGAAAACTAAAATATTAATATGGTAATGACATATCTTAAATATGTGTATATAAGCTGCAGATTTTCTTGTGGCCTAGGTAAATAAAATAGTTGAACTATTGTATGTATTGCGTTTCTTTAGCATCATTTAATGTCATTATGCCCAACTTGGTGACAATTCCCAGACAACCTTGGCTGAGCTTCTAAAAAGCTATGCAGGATAATACTTGGTTGGAAACAACCAGGGAAGTCTACATATATGGCTGGATTTGTCATGAAAACTTAAAGAAAAACACCCTCCCCTCAATCCTAGAAAACCTGTTTCCACTCCCTCATACAAAGTGTTGTCTGCAAGATATCATTCAGAGTTGAACCTGAATCAAAGGGAACTACTATTAAATCCAATGCATTAAAAAATAATTAATTCTTGCAGTAGTAAAAATGTAGTAGTACTTTTTGATTTCTGTACAGTTTGAAAGGACAACAGGCTGCTTTGCAAAATAGAGGTGGAGTCCATGGACACACACATTTGCAGATCCTCACATGTATATGTCCAAGCATAACTAAAGGCATTCCAGAGCCCCATACTTCAATGTCTTCTCAAGCAGCGTTTAAAAGAAAACTGCACTTATTATCCCATGCTATATATTTATAAATATATGTGTATAAGTATTGTTTGACAGTATCATTATCTGGATGAGAAGCTAGGCATAATGTTTGCTTGTTTGTTTGTTCCTCACCTTTATTTATAAATAACTCAAGGTGGCATACATGCCTAATACTCTTTTCTCCTATTTTCTCCCGGAACAAAAACCCTGTGTGGCAGGTTGGGCTGGGAGAGAATAACTGGTCCAAAGTCACCCAAAGTGTGGAACTAGAATTCCCAGTCTCCTTGTTTCTAGCCTGGTGTTTTGAGCACTAGACTAAACTTTTAGGGTTTTTCCCCCCTGAATTTACTTCTAGACCTAACCAGTTCAGATTTCTCCTTATTTAAAAAAGCCTGAAAATTAAATAACTATATTTGTGGAAATTTTGTTGAGTAATTTCATATAAAAATATTCTCAAAGGAACAATTAAAATATAAATTCTTATTTGTATCCTGAACTACAAAACAAGAACTACTAACACTGGAATTAGTTTTATGAAAACTAATCTTACATTTTATGAAAGATTTTTTAAATTTTGTTTTCAAATAGTTGTGCCATCTACACATTTCTTAACTTCAAGCCTATAAGACACACATATTAATTTAGTGAGCAGGTAATTTCTATTATAAATGCACAAAAAGAATTAATGAGCAAATCAAAGATGTCAGTCAAACATCTCTGTAAATATTAAGAATCGTATCTTAACAATATAGCATTCCTAAGTACAATGAGCCTACGTCTGTCTAGGAATCTGGCCGTATTGGGTCTTGATATACTTTGTCGTACATGATAAACAACTGTGATACACCATTAAATATTTAAAAAATAAAAAATCCAATGTTGTGATAGTGATTGGAAATCTGCATGAAGCTTAAGCATAATTATTCTGTAGAAAGAATTGAATTATTTCAGTGGCTACAGGGATTTTAGAAGAATGAATCAATCTGTCTTAAATTCAGTTGGAACAGTTCTGTTCATTCTCAAGCTAGAAAAATGGTTGTCAGGGAGGCTCCATCAAAAATTTTGTTGCCTGAAACAAAAGAATAGATTATGTCCTTTCCTTATTCAATGTACAAAACCAACTGATTACAAAATACCCTTCATGAAAACTGCAGGATTGTTCGGAGCAGAGGTCTTCAAATTTGGCAGCTTTAAGACATTGCTATGCTGGCTGGAGAATTCTGGGAGTTGAAGTCCACAAGTTTTAAAGCTGCCAAGTTTGAAGACCTCTGGTTTGGAGGCTACAAGCAAGCTATAAACTAGCTTCTGTTTTCTCTTCCACAACAACTTGTGGAAGTAGGCGCAAGAGCAGGAGATAGCAATCATGCTCTAGCTAATTAAAGGATAATCTTGGTAACTGCAAGTTGCTTTTACATGCCACTGCAGTAATAGGATCTATAAAACTGGTATATTAAAAAAATCTGTATTACACCAAGTTAGTTATAATGAACATTTTAAGGGAAACAGAAATGTTTCAAGTCCCAGATAATTACAGACCAGTCTATATTAGAATAAAATGGCATGATGGAAAAAATGTTTATAAGAGGTACAGTAAATATTCAAGGGATAGGAGAAATACATAGATAGTTAAATATATAGGGATGAAAATGTTCAGGTCCAACCTCTTTAAAAAGACAAAAAAGTTTTTAATTTTTTGAGGCCATTGTTTTAAATTTAACAATGTCACATGTAATCATTGTAAATTTACATTTTTTAAAAAATGAGGAACCTGGTTCATAATGATATTGTTTCAGATAAAAGTGTTTATTCTTTTAATTGTTATGTCTGGTTTCTCCTTTCTAGAAAAAAGCTGGCTTAGCAATGTAGAAGTATTCCATTTGTGTCATAGAAAAACTTCGTGGATGTCTCTGAAAAAAAAAATCACCTTCGACTGGAACTACTTGAATGGTTATTTAATGAAGCTGCTTCTGCTGTCTCAGGGGCTTTAAAGCATGGTGGATTGTCTCATTTTTTTGAACTTCTTTAGTGTCTCTGGAAATGGAGTACTGAACATTTTCTTCATGATATATATATATTAAATGATCAGCAATTGAACTTAGAACAAGCTTGCTTTAAAGCTCTTAAGGACTATTAATGCACTTATTGGTTGTCTTTAAGTCACATCTTTCTGGAACTTAAAAAGCATCAATATTAAAATTATAAACCAATTTCATACCTGTTTAAATGTTATGGCTACCAAATTAAAATGCTAAGAAATACCATTCTTGTAATACGTTTATAGAAAAGCCATAACATCTAAGCTACATTTAAATAGGTTGAGATTTATTGTATAGATGTGACTCATAAAAAAGTTAGAATTTTTTGCCTCTCCAAAATACATATACCAATCTGATTTTGTTTCTTTGTTCATTAAATATTGTATGTGGATTGCACTATATGACTTAACAAAGTTCTTCCTTATATAAAAATAACTGCATAAAAATCTACTTCTCAAACATGTTGTAGCTAATTCAAAAAAGACTTGAATAAATTCAAGTCTTTTAACTTGAATTTATAGTGTTATAAGTGCAGTAACAGTGATACTAGACATTATTTTACAATAAAAGATCTATTCAGAACATTTTGCTGAACAGGTAATAGCAAGAATGTCCATTTGAATCTCCTTCAATGTTTAGGAGAGTTTAGACTGCAGGAAATATGGGCGTTCTCTTTCTTTCAAGGGCATTTAATCTTGAATTCTTGTCTTCAATAGTTCTTGAGTGGCTAGCTCTCAGGTACTCATCCTCATTGTGGGATATGATAAAGATTAAGTTTTTAAATGCTGATTCCAGGGTATAAACATCTTAGCCAAAATGATAGCAATAAGGTCTCCAATAGCAAAGACAATATAAATTTGACTTTGCTATTTCCTTTCTCATTTCAGGAGAAAAGTCAAAAGTTAATAAATATTAAAAGTAGAATTATTGCTTGCTAACCAGTTTGAAACAACTATATTCCCATTTTACTAGGGATAATTTTAAGTAAATGTACCATTGATGTAAGGGTGGAAAGCAATTCTTAGTAACAATTATTCCTTTTAATGCAAGGGTCTCCAACCTATGGGCCATGGCCTACTACTGGGCCATAGTCTATTTGCAATCAGGCTGCATGAATGGTGGGCCGGTACGTAAGCACATGTGCGCACAGCTCAACTTGTGCAAGTTGAGCTGAATGTGCATGTGCATGCCCATCAGCCTCTCACTCGCACAAGTTGAACTGCATGTGTGTGCCAGCCAGCTGTTCATGTGGCCTTGATTCCCCTCTCCCCTTTCGCCAGGCCGCCAAGCCGCAAAGATTGGGGACCGCTGTTTTAATATATAATAAAAGTAGCAGAAGTATCATTTAGGCCAATCATAGGATTTTTCCAAAAGTGCCATCTACATGAACTAATTGGAACAGTTAATGCTACATAACTCCAAACAAGGATGATCTGGATTTCTAAAAAGTCAGGTAAAGATCTGCTTGCCATATTTTAAAGATTTTTAATTGCTGCTCTGTTCTTCATGATTCTTATTTTTTTGTTGAAAGAAATATTATGGCCAACATGTCTGCAGTGGAGGAGGTCAAAATCTGCAAGATGGATGCTGTGGTATCATCATCAAAGCTACATGCTTTGATCGTGGCACAGTGGTTAGCATGCAGTACTGCAGGGTAATTCTGCTGACTGCCGATTGCCAGCAGTTTGGCAGTTTGAGTCTTACCAGTTCAAGGTTGACTCAACCTTCCATCCTTCTGAAGTCGGTAAAATGAAGATCCAGATTGTTGGGGGCAATATGTTGATTCTGTAAACTGCTTAGAAAGGGCTGTAAAGCATTGTAAGCCAGTATATAAGTTTAAGTTATTAATATATTTAACTATTGTTATGTTATTTTTGTACCTATGGCAGTAAATATTGAACCTGTGCCTACCATTTTGCTGATGTTGACTTCTCCATGAACTTATATGGCAGTGGCCAAACTGGCATGACATTAAATGTCTGTTTGCTTTTGCTGTTGCAAATACCTTCAAACTTAAGTCTACAATTTACATTTTAAAAACTTATATGAAATGCTAAGATACATTTGATATCAGAGTTGACTTCTGTGCTTGATGCAAAATGATTAACAATTGATCTTGGAAAGATCTTTAAAGCATAACTTCTATCCTCCTATTTTGGTCTCTAACATTTAAAATTTGCCTTATTTCTAGTAGAAGGCATCTTGTAATTCGTATATGGTGGGCATGCAAAAGTAGCACAGAACTCATTGTGTATTTTTCTCTCTGTATCCTGAATAGAGATAGAATATCAGGTAAGTTAAAGCAGTATAACTGAAAGATTTATATAACTGGATACATATTTTCTTGCTGTTGTTCATTAAGTACAGTTTTAAAAAATAAGTTAGTGGCAGTGTTTTGAATTACTTGTGCAAATGAGATAGATGATTTCTAAGCAGAGCAAAATATGAATAAAGGGGATAAATTCCCCTCTAAAGGTGGGATGGTAATGTTGCCGTTGTCAATGGTGACTTTTCTCTTTTCTTTTAAATTTAAAAACTCTTAACTCTCAATGGAGAGATTTTTTTTCCACATTTTAAATTTTGTTTTAAAATGATTATCTCCAAATACATCTGTGGAACTTTCTTTCATCTTTATTTTCTGACAGAAAACACATAACCATAAATAAATCATGGGCCATGTGCAATCAGATGATCATTGTTAAAAGGGAGTAAATGGAGGAAGAACCCTCACCCTACCCTCCTCACTATCCTCACACTCTATCCTCACACTATCCTTACACACCCCTTCAATTTATCCAGGAAATGGTGCATTCCATGTGAAAAAGACAGGGACTAGTGACTCCTATGAATGCCAAAATTTTGATTTTATTGGCATTGGCTTATACAGGCAATTCTAGCTTTTATTCAGAAGTAAATACCCTAAACATACGATTTTAACCTTAGCATTACAATTTCACTGCAAAGGTAAAATTAGAGTAGCTCACAAAATAAAGAAATTACCATAGCATCTCATTTAGTGCACCAGTACCACACTGCGGTATTATTTTATCTAAATTCATAGTATGGGTTAATTTAAAAACATACACACATTCTGTACTTTACTAATACAGATATGCACAACAAACACAATATTTTGCACAAGTAATGAAAATGTTTCTCACATGACAAGATAATGTCAAGAGATAAATAATATATATTTTTATGCTAGGACATATTAATGTAATTTCAGCAATTTTGTCTCCTTAATTGATAATATTTCTTTCTCTGATACTAGCATCTACACTTGAAAGAAAAGTTCTGAATCTAAAGTGATCAGACCTATCAAAATTTTGAGTCACCAAGAAACTGTAATAGCCAAAATGCTTTCTAGTCAGGAAGAAATGATTTCTTTTTTAAGTGTGTATAACTTAAACTGGTGTAAGTGACATATTGTTGCCTTAACCTGAGAATGGGTTAGAAACGTATGTGAAGCATACCCATTTGTAATTAATGTCTTAAATGCAATATTGTGCTAATTGTAGTTCTTACAATGGTACTCATGCTTAGTGCCTATATAATAAATTATGATGATGCCTAATAATCAAGCAGTGTATATCTATTGCTGTGCCTCATCATTCTTTCACACAATTTACTGCTTACAAAAGCCTTTTTACTGTTCACAAAACCACCTGGAATTTCCATCTTGGGAAGGTGTGGAACCAATTTAAAAATATGGTCCTGATACCCAGTCCTTACAGGGAGTCCAGAATGATAGCATGATTGATGGTATCAAACATTGCTGAGGGATCAGAAGGGGTGCATTCCCACCATCTAGGTTGCAACAAAAATCATCAGTCAAAGATATCAGTGCTGTTTCTACCCATGATCAGGAATGAAAAAGATATACCATCATATCCCTTCTTGAGCAAGACACTGGTGCCTTTCCTTTCCTAGGCATCCAACGAAAAGTGGTGAATCAACTGCTGAAGATAAAACAAAACTTGTGGAAATTTACTTAAGTTTTTTTGAGCTGGGAGGGGGGGAGAGTGTGCATATGTCTATCCCATACCACACATGAATGTGCTGAAGTCATATTAACCAATACAGTAACAAATAAAAATGTCCTTAATTGCCTTTATAGAAGCTGACTGGTTTGCTGAAAACAAGTTCACCTATAGTTATACCATCACTAATGACTGATCAGAATTTTCTGATTTGCTGATCAGAACATTTCCCCTCAATTGTAATTGTAAGGAGAGACAGGAACTAGCATGTGATTGGCATATGAAGCTCCACTTTTTTCCTTGTGTTAGAATGGTCAATTAAGTCTTGTGTTTCAGGATTTATGCTTCTCTGCAATATAGATTCTAAATCCTGCTTAATTGTACCTGTGAGCCAAGCCAAGTCAAGCCATGACCAGAATTAAAGGTTAGCTATCTTATGATTTCTTACCCATATTGTGTGGAAGTTCCTCATGCTATCTTCTCTTAGGATGTAAGTGAAATAAAGAAGATTGTAAGATTTGAAAGATGATTATATTGTGAAAAATAGGCGGCTCGCCTATCAATGATAAGTGAGAATTTCATTGAAAATTCATTCTGTCTGTCTGTCTGTCTGTCTGTCTATCATCTCTTATCTTAATTTCTTTAAAATGGAATATTTAAAATATAGAAGCGGTTTTCATTATAGTATTAACCTCATAATTCCAATCAGTTGTTCAAAATGTTGTATTTCTTTTCAGTGAAAAATAGCTACTGGCAGAAAATACACAAATCAAACAATCGCAATATTAAGGGAATTACTGCATTTTCGTTTCAAAGGAAAGTTGGCCAGATATTTTCTCATCCAAATTTAAAGAGAAAGTTGATATTTTATTCTTTATCTTCCTTATCCCTTGGGGATTTTATATTGCACAGTACTTTTATACAGAGAGGTTAATAGTTTGAGCTCCATAGCCTTATGATGTTTAGAATCATTCATCCACAAATTAAACAGGAAAACGTTTTCCCCCCCCTCTTACTGTTGGGAACTGAATTACATTTAAATCTTTGTTCTCTCTTGCCGTTTGGAATTGAATTACATTTAGATCTTTGGTACATATATGCTAATGTTAAGTTTTTCACAATTCAGTTGCAAAACTAATAATTATCTAACAAACACTCTATTCAAACTCCATTCCAATGCACAAAGGGCAAATGAAAGCATATTAATAAAAGGAAATGAGGAATTTTAGAAAAAAGAGGGAAACGATTTTTGTTACTAAAATCTGTTGTTCATTTCCCATAAGAACTCATTACCAAAAAACATGTTTCTGTTTAGAAGCTATAGCATCATTATGAACAGGCATTCGGTTGCTGGTAAAGAAAAAAAACTATTGGCATGCATTCCAATTTAATTTTTATTTTTTGTGCTTCTGAGTCAGTGTTGATAACTGCCTGGGCAAGTCCTTGCAGTTTTCTTGGCAAGACTTTGGAAGTAGTTTGTCATTGCCTCCTTCCTAGAGCTGAGACAGACTGGCCTAAGGTCATCTCATGCTCTGTGCCTAATTGGGGACGAGAGTGGGGACTAGAAGTCAGTTCTAGTCTGATACCTTAATAACTTAAACACCAAATTAGTTCTACATTCCAAATTCAAAAGTCTACTGTGTTTTGTGTTTATATTGTTGTTGTTATTTCAAGGCATATCCACACTCCTTGTTTAAATTGTTCCCGTGTGCTGGTAAATTTGACTTTAAGTCACCTTAAGGAAATGCTTACTAAATTAAGACTCTTTGGAACAAATTGCAAAGAACTCAGTCCAGAAAACAGGCTATCAGATTCACTAACTGGACAATTCTGCTGCTGTGCTCTCTCACCTACTCAACGAAGAAACTGCCAATAATTTTTCTTCCCATGGGCAGGTCTTCCTGAACATATAGACATTTAGGTGTGTGTTCTCTATGTGTGTGAAACTGTTGGGAGAGGTGAAATATCAGTTTGGAAATACTGATGAAATCTAAATATACATTTCTAGTCAATGCCACCCAGAAGACACTTGGGTTAAATTCTGACAAGACTTAATAGCTGAGAGCTTTCCACTTTCAGGCTTGGATGGTATGCTCTATACTACAGCTCTTGCCTTCTGGAACAGCATTTCCACAGAGATCCGCATGGCTCCCACCCAGTGGTAGGTTCTAACCGGCTTTACTACCAGTTCTCTTCATGCATGCACTTCGCACAAGCGGGTTGGAAATCTGCCCAGCTGAGGTGTGGCAATCCACTCTGCTGCACCTATCAGCTAGGCTAAAACAGAAGAAATAAAAGGTAGAAATAACGTGGGGGTGGGTAGGAGGGCCCAGCTCCCGGACAAAGAGAACTGGTTCGGTGACGTCATATCGTCACTGCTACCAGCTCGGCCGAACCAGGCTGAACCGGGAAGAACCCACCACTGCTCCCACCGTCATGACATTCAGAAAGTCATTGAAAAGCTGGCTACTCTTGGGTAAGGATGGTCATTGAGCTGCTATGGATTGTTAGTACATAGGATTTGTCTTCTGGATATATATGATTTATATTATATATCTCTTTTTATTGTTTCTTGGTTTTTAAGTAAAACCCAACCACAACTTAATTGGAGTTGGGCAGTATTTGAATTGTTTAAACTATACACACACACACACAACCTCAACCTACAACCACAATTGAGCCCAAAATTTATGTTACTAAGCAAGCCAGTTGTTAAGTGAATTTTGCCCCATTTTACAACCTTTCTTGCCACAGTGATTAAGTGAGTCACTCAGTTGTTAAGTTAGTTATACATTTGTTAAGTGAATCTGGCTTCCCGATTAACTTTGCTTTTCAGAAAATGATCACATGACTCTGGGACACTGCAACTGTTATAAATATGAGCCAGTTGCCAAGCATCTGAATTTTGATCATATGACCTTGGGGATGCTACAACAGTTGTAAGTATGAAAAACTATCAAAAGTAGTTTTTCACACTTAACTGCAGTTATAATTTCTGCAGTTTTTCAGTGCAGTTATAATTTCAAACAAACTTAAACAAACTGTTGTGGATCAAGGACTACCTGAATATACAAAGTTAAAGCATTGAAATGCAAATGTGTGGAGGCACAAGAACTAGTTTTAAAATAAACATATTTTTCTTAGTTCTTTGTTGGCTTCTAATGTCTTTTAGAGCTACCTTTACCATGCTGCAATAGCACAATGGTAACAATACCTTGTAAATAGGAGTTCATTTCCATCATATATATTTCTAATTATTATTTTTCTTTTCTGACCTAACAACTTCTCTCTGCATTTTTCTGAAATACAACCAGCAGTATATCATTTCATTGATGTTCTGGGTTTCATTCCAGCCTGGAGTCCATGTTGCACAGAGTGATCTTGAAATAAATGAAATCAGAAGGTCAAGTGAAAAGGATTGACTGCGCTCCTCATCTTAATTTCTGTATTTTTGGGGTGACTATTAAAAGCCAAAAAGGAAACAAAAAGACCAAAGCACCCTCTCACCAGCAGTCAACACCCAGATAAACAGAGATTAACAGCAATATTAATACTAGTCCAACAATCAAGTAGCATATTATACCCAAATCAAGGTACTACCAACTCTGGCAAACAAGCTAACAATTAACAACAGTTAATCAATGAACCACTAACAACATTTCCACCAAGGGGAAAGCCATTGGTCTTGAGAGCAAACCCAATTCCCTTCTATTACTGATGATATTACCTGATTGGGTAATTAAATGTCTGCAAGAAAAATAATTAAAATCAAAGAGACCAAGGACTCGACACTTTTTACTGTATTTATTTTGTTAGAGGTATGGAATAGTTGAGATTCATATAAGAAACCTGACACTAAATTCATGAGAGCAAAAGTAGTTTTACTTATTAAATGAAACCTTGACAATAAGAATAATGAATGCTCCAAAAAAATAAAATAATGAAATTATGCATATATAGTTAGTAGCAGGATATAACACACAATTGATAGGTTTTAAGCCTTAAATTCTAGAAATTCATTCTACATCAATAAAAGCCATTAAAGCACAGCTAAAGCAACCAGTATCATAGATCAGGGTTCCCCAACATGTGGGCCCCGGCCCACTACTGAGCCGTGACCTATTCACAATCATGCTGCATGAATGGCTGGCCAATGTGTGCATGTGCGCCCTCCGCCACACTTGTGCAAGTGGTGGGCACCAGCGCTCACAGTCCCACTTGTGGAAGCAGCAGGTGCATGTGCCCACTGCTCACACAAATGAAGCTGTGCATCACACATGTGCACCTGCCCCTCACACAAAACCATCCCCTCTTCTCAACCCCTTTCCCCCCCCCCACTCCAGGCCACCAACCCAGAAAGGTTGGGGAACGCTGTCATGGATGTTACATGTTCTCCTTTTTGTGACCCCTTCAGCCACTTTTTAAAACTGTTTCAAAGGAAGTTTCTTCTATTCCTGTAAGGTTGGCAAGCAGAGATAACTAGGAGAGGCAATTTCAAAGTATTTCCCTGGATGAGGCTACAAGAGTTCCTAGCTAGGCTTTCCAAATAAGTCCACACACCGTAGTGACTTCTGCCTGAGTTGTTATCAAGCATGGC